GCTAAATAAATAAATAAAATCATGATTATTTAACTAATTTATCCAACTTAATATCATAAATGTTAAAGGCAGATCTCGTCAACTGGTTTCCTGATATTAAATTAACTATATTAACAAAATATCAAATTTAAAAATATGATTAGAATTTAACTGAACTCAAATTCCGTAAATGGGCTCTCATGGACTTTAGATCCATAGCTCGTCCAAACTCAAAAGTATCACCTCCCTCACCATTTTCCCGCAATTCCGTAGCTAAGATCAAATAAATTCAATAGCACAAACATCAAAGGACCAAAACATCAATCAATGTTTCAAAAATATAGCTACTAGTTTTAAATGTTTTGATAATTTGATTGGCGATGTTGTACTGCTATAATATCGTGTACCGTATTTTATCTAATTAATCAGTTAAACGTAAAAATGTTATCATTATTTTAGAGACATTTGCAAAAATATCACTTTTTGTGTCTAATTTGCAAAAATGTCATTTCTGGTGTCCATTTACAAAAATGCCACTAATTATGATTTTTTAGAACCTAAATCTTAAAATTCTAAACCCTAAAAAAACTTTTGATCCCTAAAACCCTTTAAACCCTCAAAACTAAACCATGATACAACATAGTTAACCCAAATATAAATGATATAATGAATAAATAATTTTGAAAAAAATAGCATTTTTGTAAAGATTATAAAAATGTGGCATTTTTATAAAGTTACATTTGAAAAGTGATATTTTTTTAAATTTCTCATTATTTTACTGTATTGTTGTTTTTATTACTGTTTATATTGTTTTTAACCGTATTATCATTTCATAATACTATTTTATATCATTAAAAACTTGTATCATATTTTATCATTCCGATCATGTATTACCTAACAAAATTGTACTTAGATCATAGTGACACTCTAGAGACGCAAACCCAAAATTCATAATACTACTATAAAAAATGGGAAATAAAATGCAAAGTAGGTGTTCCATGTTTTTTGGTTTATTGATATCGGTGTTCCAAATTCCAAAGATGTTAAATGACAACTATAATAAAATAATAATTAATGCACGGTTAAAGAGACATTACAAAATTAACTATTCGTCGTCAAAAATGTCGGCTGCATTAATTTCCCTATTCGGTTTCTCCTTTCCTAAAACTAGTAAGCAGTAGTAATCCATTTAATTCCCTTTCACAACAACAAAAATATTAATTCGCATATTATCGATTGATTTTAATCTTCTATATTTTAACAAACTAAGATATTTGTTTAATTTGTTCCTTTTCCATTAAAAATATTTTTTTTTTGTGTAAAAACACCTAAAAAAAAAGTTTAGGAAGTGATCTTAAATTTAGCATCCGACTAATCTTTTACGATGAGTATAGTCGTCTATTAATCTATCCACCGAATTTTTTAATGTTTCTAAAGCATATCAACATTTCTCACCGACTAAATGGTTACAAATTATTTTGGCAAGTTTTTATTTCACATTTTGTTTGTAAGCTTTGTAATTTGTGTGTGAAATCTAAACTCTTACTTTGCTAGTTTTCTTACTTGAAACTGTTGAAACTCATTTTTTACGAAATGGTTTTAGACCATTTTCCAGTGTGTTTTCCGGTAGAAATGTTCATCGGACTGACCGGATATTCGGCACGATAGAATCGCCGTATCTACTTGTCAAAATCAGAGTTAGTTTGAATGAGAAATTGAGGTCCAATGTGGATGAGTTAGAATGCTTATGAAACTTCTAAAAAATAGCTAAGTGTAAAAAACTAACAAATGTTTCATATTGGAAGTTGGAGATGAAGCATCTCTTTTATATAAAAGGGAGAAATTATAACAACGTTCAAAACTTGAATACACTATGGTTATTGGAGAAAAGAGATATATGGACCGGACTTTAGCTTTGGATTTCAGAATTTGGCAAATGGCTAAAATCATAATTTTTTTAGTACAAATTCTTTTTGAATAATGAAGTTGATTAAGTAAACATAATATTTTCTTTAATTGGTTTCTTTGTAACGTTGAAAGGAAATCAAAAGTGATTGATTTTCTCATAACTCCCCTTTATGACTACGTTGAAGCTTTGTTCTATAAGATTAATTCATAACGTGTGTATTGATTTTCTTATCTTACGGCACGTTACGTGCAACTAAAGAAGTAAGAAAAGAGTGTCTCGTCTCCATATAAACCGTTTATCGTTCATCGTAATTTTGGTATCAATCAAAGCTATTTTGTATTGTTTTTATCATTAATCTAAGCAATATTTAATTTTGCCGTATCGTAGAAATTGTGCTCCTACATAAACGTCAATAAGAGTATGCATATTGG